TTATCCAGTTTAGGGAAATTCTCTCCTATTCCTAGTTCGCTGAGTTTATATCATAAATAAAAGTTGAATTCTGTCAAACCCCTGTCAAAACCCTGTATTCATGTAATATGATCATGTGGTTTTGGTTTTTCTTCTTTAGCTTGCTAACTTGGTAGACTATAATGACTGGTTTTTGAATACTGAACAGCCTTGCAATCCTTGGATAAAATTCCACTTGATCATGATGTAGTTTATATATATGTGTACATGATGTATATATCACACATACACATATACAACTTGCTAAAGTTTTATTGAGGATTTTTACATCTGTGTTTATGAAGGATATTGGTCTGTAGTTTTCTTTTCTTGTACTGTTTTTTTTCTGGGTAACGCTTGTCTCATAAATAAGTTGGGAAGTATTTCCTTCTCTTAACTTTTTGGAAGGGACTGTGTAGAATTGGTGATATTTTTTCTTTTAATGTTTGGCAGAAGTTATCAGTGGAAGCATCTGGGTCTGAAATTCCTTTTTTCAGAAGACTTTTAACTACACATTCAATTTCTTTATTAATTATAGGACACTTCAAGATTTCTATTTCATCTTGTAGGAGTTTTGATAGCTTCTGGTTTTTGAGTAATTGGTACCTCTCTTCTAATTTGTCAAATTTACATGGATACAGTTGTTTATAGTATTCTCTTATGGTCTTTTAATGACTTTTTAAATGTCTGAAGGGTGTGTAATAATATCTCCTTTTTTAGTCCTGCTATTGGTAATTTGTGGCTTTTTTTTTTTTTTTGGTCATATTTGCAAAAGGCTTACCAATTTAATTGATTTTTTTAAAATTACTTTTTGGGTTTTCTCTATTTCTGCTTTCAATCTTATTGATTTCTGCTCTCACATCTATAATTTCCATTCTTCTTTTTGCTTTGAATTTATTTTGCTCTACTGTTTATAGTTTCATAAGGTGGAAGCTTAGTTATTGATTTGAGACTTTTCTCTTTCCTATTATCATTTAATGCTATAGATTTCCCTCTAAGCACTGCTTTCACTGAAACCCACAAGTTTTGGTATGTTGTATTTTTAATTTTTGTTCAGTTCTAAAATTCTTTGAGACTTCCCTTTAACCTTTGAATTACTTAGGAGACAAACTGTTTAACTTCCAAGTTTTAGAGATATTGTTCCCGCCACCTTTCGGTTTGCAATTTACTTTTGGTTCATTTAGACTTGTTTACATTTATTTTATAAAGCAGAATTTGTTAGGGAATGTTCAATGGGTACTTGAAAACAGTGTGTATTCTGCTATTGGTAGGTGGAGTATTCTATAAATGTCAATGGTGTTTTGGTGTTTTTAAATTCTTCTATACCCTTGCTGACTTTCTCTCTACTAGTTCTACTCCTGAGATAAGCATATTAAAGACTCAGTAAACTTCTTTAGGTTGTGCTTCATGTATTTTGAAGCTCAGTTGTTAGGTGTATACACATTTAGAATTGCTATGTGTTCTTGGTAAATTGACTAGTATTATGTACTGTCACTATTCCTGGAAATTTTCTTTGCTTTGCAATCTACTTTATTTTATATTAATATAGTCACTCTGGCTTTCTTGTTATTAATGTTTTGTGGTATATCATTTTCCACAGTTTTACTTTGAACCTACTTATATCATCATATTTGAAGTGAATACCTTGTGGACAGCATATAGTTAAGTCATTAAAAAAATTCATTCTGACAATCTCTCTTAGTTGGCATGTTTAGACCATTTACATTTAATATAATTATAAATTTGGATTTAGGTATATCATTTTGCCATCTGTTTTCTGTTGTTGTTTTTTTTTCATTTTTTGTTGTTGTTGTTCCTATTTCTTCTATCCTGTTTTCTTTTGGGTTGTTTAAACATTTTTAATATTTCATTTTAATTTATTATATTTTTATTTACTATAGTTCCTTGTATAGTGCTCAGTAATTACTCTTTGGATTATAATATAAAAATTATCTTTTCAGAACCTACTTATAATATTTTACCATTTCAAGTGGAATGTAGAAACTTTTTTCCATATAGTTCTCTATATCCTCCCTTCCTTTATGATGTAGTCATCTTGTGCCCTACATCTACATACAGTGAATCAGATCAGATTATGTTATTTTTCCCCAAATGTCAGACTATTTATTCTATGTAGCCAGATATTTACCGTTTCTCTTCTTCCTTTATATCTCATATTCCAAGTTTCTGTCTGGTATCATTTCCTTTCTGTTATAACAACTTCCTTTAGCAATTCTTTCAGAGAAGGTCTGTTGATAAGAAACTTTCTTAGTTTTTTTTGTCTTGTTTTGTTTTGCTGTTTTTAACTTGAGAATGTCTTCACTTACCTTCATCTCTGAAGGATATTTTTATTGGACATAGAATTCTGGGCTAATGGTTCTTCTCTTTCAACTTTTAATTTTTTTTTTTTCAACGTTTTTATTTATTTTTGGGACAGAGAGAGACAGAGCATGAACGGGGGAGGGGCAGAGAGAGAGGGAGACACAGAATCGGAAACAGGCTCCAGGCTCCGAGCCATCAGCCCAGAGCCTGACGCAGGGCTCGAACTCACGGACCGCGAGATCGTGACCTGGCTGAAGTCGGACGCTTAACCGACTGCGCCACCCAGGCGCCCCATCTTTCAACTTTTAAAAAACATTGTGTCACTACTAGATAGATGGCTTCCATAGTTTCTGATAAGAAATTCATGGTGCTATCTAGATTTATCCCATGTGGCTGGTCTTGGATGTCGGGTGGTGGTCTATCCCGCGGTTCAGTCTGAAAGTCTACGGTATACTACTTAAGGTCAGACCCGTGCATATTCAGATTGGTGGGGAGCTCAGGATCTCATAACCTTCTTTATATGTTCACTTTCCTGAGCTCCTTCCTCTCATATCTCTGCCCAGTACTTTTTGGTTCCCAAGGCTCCCTTTTAGTTCCTCTGGCCAAAAAGCTGGTTCTTTGCTTTATTCTGCTTTGCCTCACACTTCCCACATGTGCACCTTCATTTGGGGCCATGCAGTAGGAAAATAGAAAAGAAGAAAAAAACAACAGGGTTTCATCCCACCCTCTTAGAATATAGTTCCTCTGCTCAGAGAGATAGATTCCTTTCCCTCGACATTTTAAATTTCCTATGGGCCCATGTTGTTGTTGCTGCTGCTACTGTTGCTGCTGCTATCACAGGATTGCTAACAGGGTACAAGGATATGGAGAAAAAAACAAAAGAGGGCAGATTTCCCCTCACTCAATCTGAGCTTAGAGACCCTGGATCCTGTCCTGCATGTAGAGGGCTTCTCTGTGTCCTCTCTTTGTCAGCACAGATGCCCACTTCTGGGTTTTGGCTGCATTGAGTCTAGGCTAGGGGGTACTAGAGGGAAGAAAATGCCAGTTCAGTAGTACTTCAAATTTTGATACTTTTCCAATCTGCCTCCTACTACATACTTTCAGGGTCCTCAATTAGCTGTTACATACATTTTGCCAAAGTTTTAGAACTGTATTCAGTGTGGTGGACAGGATGGAGTAGGCTGACTCCATCTTACCCAGTTCAGAATGTCCATATATCTTTTCATACTCTTTAGTGAGTATGTAAAAGATCCATAGAAATCAAAAGGTGGGAACATAGAATCTGAAGTCCTGATGGCAGGATCTGTAAAGAATATTCTTTTGCAGGAAAGTATATAGGGGAGAGCTGGACAATAGTAATAATAGACTCTTAAGGGAACATATTTCTGGGTGGCTTTTGGAAAACAAGGAGGATTACAGATTAATTGGGTAGGTCCTTCCCTTGGCATGAGTGTATCACTTTGATGTGATCTAGAATTTTAAAAATATCAAAAGGAAACTATACTGCATATCAACATGGAGTTTATTAAGCTAATAAAACTACTCTCCCTACTGACTGAGGATAAATTTGGGCACCCATACTGGTCTAGCTAGGGCACATGGGGTGAGAGGCAGAGGTGTAGGCTCCCAGACCTCTGGAATTCCACAGGAGGGTTGTACTTGCATTTCAGGATCTAAGTGAGATTTAACACAGCCACTGGCATTCTTATAAGATGACAGTGCTTATGGTATTGCAGGGGGACTCAAGGAAGGAGAGGCATTATACAAAGGGAGGTGGGATAGGACCATGGTTCCAAGGTCAAGTGTTGTGGAGGGGGGTTGAGCATATATGCACATGTACACACACAAACACACCCCTCTTGTATTTCTCCAATAAGTGGTACCTTGAATGCCCTTTTATTGGGGGATTTCATGAAATAGATGAATATTATATAAACCATACTCAATGCTTCTCTCCTTTTCTTCTTGGTGAGGAGATGATCACAGGGTGTGCACACTGGGTGAGCAAGACTGGGCTTTACACTCAACTACTCAAGAGGCATAGCTATAGCTGAGATGGGGATCAGGTCCTTCTGAGAAACCTGTGGCATAGACCAAGAAGAAAGATGCTCATCTCCCATCCTTCTAGGAGAGGCTCCCATGGCAGGAATGGGGAGTTTGAGCATGTAGGTGAATGTGTCCTCAGTCCTCTCTAAATTCACAAGGGCACATGACAGTGATGCAGGTGCATTTTATATGTCACCAAAAATCCTGTGTTTCCCTAAGGGGAAGAAATTAAAAATCACTGTATCAGAACTCCTGATTGGTGAGCTAGATCAGGAACAAAGATCAAATCAGTGGAAAAGGGGGAAAAAAGTACTATAATGAGGGGACTCTTCCTTTTAATCTACTTCATGTGCAGACAGGTCTGGCTGGTGGCATCTGCTGCTTACACCTCTCCAGCATCCAGTGAGAAACTATCCTTAACACCTGACATACTTCCATACTAGGATCCCTTCCTGATGTTTAATCCCAAGGTATCCATCTTTTAAATTAGCCCCAATAAGTCTAGTTTTATTAACTGAGTAGATAGAACATGCTGATGAGGGAAAATCGAAGATGCTCTTTGAATCACATGCAGTTGGCCACATGAAATAAAAACTGAAAAAATCAAACGCTACCCAATACAGTTGGACAGCAGTGGCCAGAACTGGTGACGGAAGCACCAGTGGGCTTCCCCTGCTGGAACTCCATGAAGTTCCATGAAGTATGCAGTAAGTCTGGAAGTATGTAGTTCCATGAAGAACGGCTTTTTCCCATAGGGGGTCTCCATGGTGAGGAGCTAAAGACATTTTATGAAGCATATTGTTTTCACACTTACAGCTACCCCTGGAAGTTGAAGAGTGGTTGGGGCAGCAGAGAACCGGGATGATACAGCTTAGCCGGAGGAACCTTAGACCAGTTACCAGAAGTTATGAGTCCTCATCCTGGTTCTGCTACCTATGCCATGAGAGAGAGTGGGCAAGGGATTTCCACCTCCATGGACCTTGGCTTCCTCTTACAGAATAGTGAGGACACTGATAAGGTGATTTCAAGCTGGAGAATTAAAAATTGTCTGAAACTCACTCCCCCCATTAAAAGGTGAGTTCTAATTCCCCTCCCGCTGAGTGTGGGCTGGCTGGCCTCAGTGACTTGTGTCTAAGGGAACAGAATGTAGCACAAGGGAACTGCCTGACTTCCAAGGTCAGGGAGTAAGAGGACACACAGCTCCCCACTGACTCTCTTGTCCATGACGCTCACCCTGGAACCCAGTCACGTGTTGTGAGGAAGCCGCTACATCTCCGTACGGAAAGCCACAGTCCCAGCTGACAGCCTACATCAACCACTAGCCATGGGAATGAGTGTGTCTTCAGGTGGTGCCAGCCCATCATCTCAGCTCTAGCTGAGACCACATGGGACAGAGACAAGCATTCCCTTCTAGGCCATACCCATATTGAAGATCCACAGGCAAATAAATGCTGTCGCTTTAATCCTGTACATTTTGGAGCGGTACATTTACACGGTAACAGATACTCAGGAGAGTTAATGCCTAAAGAAAGACTCAGTGATGCCCAAGGTTCCTTCCAGACCAGGAATTCTGGCATATCTACACTGAGCTAACTAGTTCCACATTATAGTATGAGACAGGAACTGACAAGCGTGCAGATGAGCCCTCTCAGACTTGAGTATTATACACAGAGCAAAATGAACCTGTTTGAGAAGGCTATCCTTATTGGAATTAGGTCTTATGCTTCTTTTGAAGTCTCTACAAGTCTTTGGAGTACCTGAAACGAGGGAGTGGTTGAGGAATGAACTCACAGTTTCTTGTAGAATTGAAATAAATCAAGTAGGTGCTCACTGTCAACATCCGGAGAGGCAAATGGAACAATGCAATGCTCACAGGCATGACATAAATTTAAGTATGCTCCACATTAAGACAGTCCTATCCATGAAAGGTCAAGTTTCATGAAGAATAAATTAGAGTCTCATCAGCCACATTAACAAAAACCTTGTAAGAGTATTCCCGTTAAAATTTGATGGACATGTAGGAAAACGAGACAGGAAATATGTCAAAATGTTAACGGTGTCTATCTCTAGGTAGTATGATTATAAATGAGATTTATTTACTTCTTTAAACATTTTACTATTTTTCAAATGTTGTTTTGGTGTATTTTCATATGTAAGAAAATGTGCTAAAATGATGGGAATAAAGTTGATTTAAGACAGTGTTGGGTAAAAGGGCTTCCATGGAAAATCATGAAGAATTATTTTGAGAAAAAGGACTATGGTCAGAGAAGTTTATTTTGTTGTTACCAATTTTTGTTTTTTTCCTCCAGATAATTTTTTAAATTCACAGTTACATAAAATGGAACAGATTTTGGTTTATTTTCTAATTGCAGTCTTAGCACTTTCAATGTGCTAAGGAGCCCTGAAACTCTCCAAAAGGGAGAAAAAGTAAACAGCATGGCCCAAACTTGTTTTGGGGGGGCATTTCCTGAGGTTAGTGTTGTTCAGAATACATTCCAGGGAACTCTGACATAAAGCAAGGTCCATTTAAAGCCAGTGCAGTCCCTTCCTGTGCCCAGGCCTGGGTCCTCGGGACAGGTGCACACCTCCTCATGACCATAAGTCAGACAGCCTCCCTGCACGCCCAGACAGTGGGGGCTGGGGACACCACTGAGCTCAGGAGCCTTTAGCAGCTTGGTTCCAGGAAAGAATGTCATCTGGGTGTGTGGAGAGAAAAGTCACCCCATGTGGAGCTAGATGGGTCAGGATGATGCCTCCCTCACCTCATGGAGAATTCTGGAGACTCAATTTGTTTTCTACCGCAGACATTTGGTGAAGTGTTTGTGGGATGACTGTGCTCAGCTTGTGCTATTCTTTCTTCCTGAGATGTAATCGGAACATCTTTACTTTTACCTAGAGGTATCAGGAAATGTTGGGGCCCAAATGAGAAGCTGGCCTAATTTTCCAGTGATTCTTACTTAACAGTCACACAGGGAGAGTTTCACGGGAGCACAATCTTTAGCAACTTGTCACTGAAATTCTCAAAGGAATATTTAGCTTTTTCTGCAGAAAAGAAACATTTTCAAAATGGCGGACTTCTGCCCATCCCTTTTTCAATTTAAAATTTATTGAAATTATTGAAAGAGTTTTTAGTGAATTCTTCTCTACCTCAGATGCTCCCAGAGAATTTCTGGGTGTCCCTGAGCTAAGACTTTCCCAAGTTTTTAAGCCTAACGGGCATACAATTCTCTTTCTGACAATGCTTCTTAGCTGACCAAAGTACCCCACTAGGGTAGAAGCCAAGAGCCCCAAATAGAGGGAGGCCCCTTTTCCATTCTGCTGTTTACTGGGCCACAGTAAGAATTAGCATTCTGCCTGCGAGTACAGTTCTACTTTTTCCCTTTGTTTGGAATACAGAATCACTCATCTGGAAATTACAGGGTAATATAAATGAATCGTGTGTCCTGATACGTCTATATTCTTGCAATGCCTGCTGCTGCCTTAATCACCAAATAAAACAAACAGAAAGGAAGTCTCAAAAATGTTTTTACTATCATTTTTTTCCCTGTGTCGGGGCTTATGATGATATGCGTAACTCCCAGTCAAGAGCCTATGAAAGAAAATCACAGCAAAATTAGCAAGATAGGCTCCAGCTGGAAACATCAACATATACTGCACAGGGTCAGGATTTTCATTCTGCACTGAGCCTGTACACAGGGGCATCAGTGAGTGCGCCCGGAGCTGGAGTCCTCCAAGTGGGCTACAACCTTCATGGATCAGACTAGCCTTTCCTTTCAGACCTACAGAATTTACATCTAGAGAAATGAAACAATAAAATGAGGCCAGTCTTTCCTCTTAACCATATTACTCTCCACGAAAGAGCACTTGGCTGAGAAACAGAGCTTATGAATTGTGACCATCATCCTGGCTTAGCTCAACACAGACCCTGCAAGATATGATTTCTCCTTTATGCTTGTTTTCAAGAATGCCTCCCTAACTTGCCCCAAAATCCTTTGAGGGCAGGGTGATGCTGTGTATCCTCCTCTTTATCTTCCTGCTGCTTAGTACATTTCTTAGTTAACCAACACTGATGGAAGGGTGTCCGAATGGTCTCAGTCATTGGTCCATGTCGACAAACTACCCTGGGGGGAGCCAGGAGGAATGCTAAGGCTAAAGCTTTTCTTTTTGCAACACTTGCTTCTGCAAAAGTGCATGGATGAGTGTCTCGGTTGCAGCGATGTTATCTCCCTCTTGCCTGGCCATTTTATCAGTGTTAAGACTGTAAGGATGAGGGTCAAAGAATAATAAAATTGTTTAGCTTGTGTTTGCAAACCAGCATCCTTTATTGAGAACCCCAAGCTATTTTGCCTGACCTTCTTCATTCTTATTAACAAAAGGCAGCGATAGCTCTCAACTCACCACCCATCTTCCCTCCTGCTACGAAAATGCACACAATTAGGGAAACAAAACTTCCCAGCTGGTAGGAGTTAATGTAACTTTAACGAATGCGGAGGAATTACTCATTCAATATTGGACAGAAGGAAGAGGCCACCATGAAAGAATTTCCTCTCTCAAGAAATGGAGTAAGTTGTACTTTACAATACTGCAAAGTTATAGAAACTGGCTTTCTTTGGAAAGTGAGGATTCATACAACACTTTCTGTCCCTACCCCCTGGGCACATGGTCGACCAAAGGGAGCAGCTTCCACTTACTGTCAGGAGAGGTCGTTAGGAGCCCAGAACTCGAAATCATACCTTGGTTTGAATCCCTGCCTGCCACTTACTGGCTGTGTGATTCCAGGCCCTGGCTTTCTCAACTGTAAAATGAGGCTGGTAAAAGCCTATGTGGAGGGGGGGTGTTGTGAGGATGAGAGAGCTTACGCATGTCAGCTGCTGCAGGCACACACTGAGTGCTCCATACATCTTAGCATTTCTTATTAGCACTGTGTTCCCTGCAGTGTGTGAGAAGGCACTTACACGCAGCTGCATTTAGTTCCTCAGTAACAGAAGTTGAGTAACTCATCCAAGGACAGAAAGTAAAAGCGTCAGAAGTCAAAGCCAGGCCTGTCTCATTCCTAACTAAGCTGTGCACTTCCTGCCCCACTGCGCCACTTCCTGGATGACTCCCCCCTCCGCCACACACACAGACACATGTCCCGCAAAACTATTAGAAAGGCATGTGCATCACTGGACCACAAAATGGTAAACTGTGCACCTCATTATCTAGGGATTCCAAATGTCTCTCAATCAGACTGTTTCCTTTTTGAGTTCATGGACCCTGTTTTTGGATTGTCCCTAAGGAAAAATAGCAAATAGTTCTGACACACAATAGGCACTCAGTACTCGCTGGTTTTACACGGAAATTCGCAGAAGAAAAGTGGAACTGTATCCCGGTTCAGAATACTTGATCAAACAATCCGAACAAACCATGAATTGCCCAAAGCTTTGGAAACCTTGCCCAACATAGCGTGTCTTTTCTGGAGACAATGAGGGTTTTGATCTGAAGCTAAGCATTTCTAATCTTGTCAAAAAAAACTGTGTGAGTGAAAACTACTCCTCTCAGGCCTCCAGGTGGGATTAGGGGAAGGGCCTCCCGATGCTGCTGCTACAAAACCTGCACAACCAGAGGCTTTGAGACGGATATAATCTTAGGATTATGGTTATTTCCTCATGGGTTCTCCCAAGTGTTATGAGGGATCCTGCATTATTACTGCTATTCTGGCAAACAGATCTGGGTATTGCCAAGCGTTCTAGACCTGTTTCCCCATCCGAGGTCGAGAGGGGGTGA